ACTGTGCACTTCTTACAAGATAATAATGAATCCAGATTGATTTATTATCTCTCAAAAGCTTTGACAGAAAATCTTCTTTAGACACACACTGCTCACACTGTAAACACATTAAGCCACAATAAAAAAACACAGCAACATATACGCTCTTGAATGTGCTCACTCAAATAATCAGCATGTGTTGCCCCTTACATGTAATAGCCGTCTATTTGATTACTTTCAAGTCACACGCATTGATCTAAAACGGTGACCGCAAAGGAGGACATCTATTTTGCGAAAAACGTTTTGAAATCATCTCCCTTTCCTTTGATCCTATTACCTTTCGTGGAGCTTTCAAAGAAGCAGGCATGTTTCAAACTCTTTGAAAACCATTAACTCCAGCCACAGGGGCGGCCATTGAAGCCAGCGATACCAGGCCGAGATTGTATCAGTGAATATGCCTTCGCACAACTGACAGGACTTAATCTTCTCTGAGAACGACACCTGGGGTGCCCCAGACAGTCATCAGCCCGCCCCTCCCTGCACCCCCCCATCCCCCCCCCCCCACCATCCCCGAGCCTTGGTGCTCTAGACAAGACAGCCCTTACCGTCCGCCTATTTGACTTTATCTCCACGAAACGGTGGGTTAAGATATTTTTGAGCCTGAAGACAAGATATAGCCAATCCTCCCCCCCTACCCTGGAAGGACTGCTGCTTATATTAAAACTGATACCTAAGGACAAAAAAATATTTAAAAAAAGAGGGGGGGGGGGGCTTAATCAGATTCAGCAAACTATAGCTCACCCTCTCGGGGAGCTGTCAGAAGCATTTAAGAGCCCCGGTCTGGGGCCGCAGACCAGGCAGTGAGCAGGGAATCACTTTGCACGCATCGAAAGGACAACCCAATTAGTCTAGTTTACTAAAAAACTCCCCCCATGTCAGGGGAGGCGCCATGTGCCCTCCCCTTTCCCGGGACCTTCTGGACCCCCGGAATAAAACCCACACACACTGCATGCTCCACTTCAGTGTGGACGAAAAGCGCGAGTATCTGGAGAATAGCCATCCATGCTGCTGCTGCTGCTGCTGTTGTGGAGACAGAGGACCCGAGGAAGTTCTGAGAGGGGAGTAATGCCCCACATTGGCGGCAGGCCATGTGTATAATTACACAGACCAATCGTAATCCTGATTAGCTTGATACCAGTCGATTCTAGTTTCGTTTCATAATCTCTTTGGTGGGGTTGGGTTGGGATGAGAGGGATGGGGATGGGGGGTGGGGGGGTATTCTACATAAAGGGAATCCATGTGACCAGGTGACGGCACATGCACAACCTCACAGGTATTTAACGATTTGCGGGTCGCCGACCATCACATAAAAAAGAAAAATGCCTCTGTTTCCTGAGGTTTTCTTTGCAACGAACGAAGATGCGGAGACAGAGTGCCGTTTAGACGCAAGGGACTAAACTTCGGGAGCACCAGATGGACAGAGATAATTATCAACAATCTGTTCAATCCCTTTCGTCGTGCTGCACCAGGAAAAGTGTGCCATAGCCATCATTCTGCTGAAAACCATGTCTCCTGCCTTTTGTCTTCTGACTGCATGTGTGAGGCATCTTCTGGAAAGCTGTTGACTACAGAGACGTGACAATGTTAGTCTGTTTGCCAAAGTGAGATATGAAAGTGAAAGTGATTCCATTAAAAGTAAAATATATGTACCGGTATATGTATTCCTGACACATTCATTTTTTGTGTGCGTGTGCGTGCGTGTATGCGTGTGCTTGTGTGTGTATAGGCGTGCACATGTGTGTGTGTGTGTGTGTGTGTGTGTGTGGTATGAAGGGCAAGACATCTCTTCTGAAGGGTTGTGTAGGCAAATGGAGCAGATTCCTGGACAGGAGTCAAACCCCACAGGTAGAATCATCAGTACAAACAAATTCGGTTCGTTGAAAGGGAGTCAAGGGTACATGACTGTGCACACACAAATTATGGTCTGAAATCCCACAGATCACTGTGTAAACAAAGAACCAACCAATCACCAAGCTCACAATGGTGCCCTGGGTAGGAAGTTCAGATCTTATGCTCAATAAAACTCTGGATAAACAAACCAATGCAATACAAATGCGTAATAATCTCATTGAAGCCAGTCACATCCAGGCTTCTTATCGGGTACCTGCTTGTCAGATTGTGAATCAATTAGGTTATTGCGTTGCCAAATATCAGCACACATTGCCGGCTTAGTCGGGAAGTATTAGTGTTATAATTGTAGATACCATATGTATGTTATTAGGGATAGGACAGAACTGGAGAGGCAACATGACTGCGTTAACTGCTTTGGATCAAATGCACTGATATCTAACATAAAAACCCTAACATTTAATTAACAGTTTCCTGACCTATTCGTTTTAATGTAATGTCGGCTCTGCACACCCTAATACCGTAAGCTAGGTTATTTAAAATTACAACTACAGGTAATCGTTCCTTAAAAACCAAGTGCTAAGTAATTAATAATTAATTCCAGTTCGACACACTGTTGATTCACCTTCTTTTCTCAATCATGTTGACAACCACTGATATCTTTTTCCTCCCAAGCCCTGCCCAGTCCCTTCAAAGAGAGCAGCAACAGGAAATTGTTCTTTCTTTTTTTATCATGTCATCTCATTTCCTGAAAAAGTTTCTATGATGAAGTCCACCAAGTCCACCAATGACGCTGGCTCCATTTCAACCACAAACACCATTGACAACACATAATCCCCAATCAAATCCTTATCGACCAATACACAGCCCTCCTTGATCACTTGTACTCTTTAGTCGTGTCCTAACTTCCTGTTTAACCTGCAAGTGCATCGAAAAGAGAGGACACCTGTGAAATTGGAAGAATCCTCTTACTAAGTGCTAAACGATTTTGCCTTTCTCTCTCATTGCCTGAGTCACTCTCACACAATAATATGTCACAGGATTATATTAATTGCAGATGGATTATTATGGGCTTTTCGTTGAGCTTCAGCAATTGACCCAAGAAGAGGGTCAATCAAACAGGAAAATAGCAACTCCAAGTACGTGCTCTACATGGTCTACTGCAAAGTTTTTACGACATATTTACTAAATTAATAAAATCACAACCACCGCTCTACATACAGTGAGTTTGGCCGGCGCTTAATAGCTTGAGGCTCTCTGCGCTCCAGTAGACTACAGCAAAGGAGGGTCCACCACATTACCTTGCTAGCCGGCTTATCATGTACTTCCTCCCTAACAACGGGACTTAAAGTCCAAGTCATTGTTGTGGTTTATGGATGCATACCACCTGCCCATCTTGTCCTGCTTTTGTAATGAGCTTATGAAGTGACGCAGGTGAATTTTAAAGCAACACAACACTTTACGTTGTGAGCTCCGCAAGCGGTTCTACAGCGTCCCCGTGGAGTAAATGACACAGATGCACTTCCCATTGCTACAAATGCCAAGTCTCTCTCTCTCTCTCTCTCTCTCTCTCTCTCTCTCTCTCTCTCTCTCTCTCTCTCTCTCTCTCTCTCTCTCTCTCTCTTTCTCTCCCCCACAGAATGTGGGTGAGTGACCTTTCTTGCACTCAACAAAACAATACTTGTATGTAAACGTGTGGATCACCAGGTTTCAGAATATACCTAATGGTCAGAGCCATGCAGGCCTATCTGGGCTAACCTTGCCCTGGTCATGTCTTGAAACACTAATTAAAAAAGCATTGAAGCTGGTGAGTGGCAGCACAACCAGCGGTTGTTGGGCTGATAGAACAAAGCGCTAGGAAGTGATTACGTCAGCAGATGTGTGAGTCACCCGCACATAACTACAAGGACTCGTTCTTTCATATTTGTCTCTTTTCTTTTTTTCTTTTTTGTACTTCTGCCAACAGTGTGTCAACTGTCGCGAGCAGAGGAATAACTGCTCTCCAAGAATCCCTGGCACCCACCCACCCGACCCACCCACCTCCTCCTTGCACACGACCGGTTGGCTGGCTCCCTCTAATAAGGAACAGGACCAGGCGGCTCGGCAGTGGCCCTAGGTTTGACATTGCCACAATGTGGGTGGTGATGAAACATGCAGCACACTGCGACGGACCCCATCTCGGCTCAACTATCCCCCCCACACACAAACACACACACACACAGAAACACACCATTAGGCAGACATGAGGTTTACACATAAGGGTAAACAATCTGCATGCAAATGCTACCTGCACGCCTGCACGGGATGTGGTGGTAAACATCAACACAACAAAGGGCTTAGTACATCAGAATGCATCATGGGATTTTTTGTTGGCGACACTGCCATATTGAGAGGACTCAAGAGAGTTGTAGTGCTGTAAAATCCTTATACCGTAACCTAAGCGAATGAAAACTTTGTTTTGCCACGTCTCGCATGAGAAACGCTGCGGCAGGTTCAAACACAACAATGTCTCCCCATAATGACACATAATTTCACGATGAAACAATGACCAAAAAATCATTACTACCGCCATAATAAATAGTACTCCAGTGCTTCTATGCTCTCAGAATGGTGGCGGTCATTGTGATGTGACGTTGCGACGTCAAGCCCTATAGGCACGGGAAAAAAACGGTTTTACATATAAATGGCAGACACCATTTCACAGATCACCCTAGGCTGCACGCCCATGCGTGCATGTAGGCACACATATGTGATGTGCTTGACGCACGCAAATATAATAACCCTGAAAAATATGAACTCCATTGTCCATTGTGACTGAAATACAGTCACAATGGACAAACAGCAATAATGCACACAAACAGAATCACAAAGTCACAGACTCTCACATGCCCAATGCAAACACACAGTCTCTCTCTCTCTCTCTCTCTCTCTCTCACTCTCACTCTCACTCTCACACACACACACACACACACACACACGCACAGTACACACAATCACACACACACACACACACACACAATCACACAATCAGGTGAATAAACAGGTACCTAATCAAGTAATGGATGGGATGGAGCTGGGACTGCAGGGAATCAGCTGACAGTGTGGTCCTGACC